GCAAATTTGCTCACTATTTCTTTTCTTTTCTAGTTTTCGTTTTCTTAGGAATACGTGCAGTGGCCCTAAGGGCCGTTACTCACCACATACACAAAAGACAAAACATATGGCGGTGTATTATTCCACATTCTGTGGTAGATTCTTTGTAAGTTTGCAAATTTGCACATTACGTGAGTAGTGCAGCCAAGCCCTGAGAATCACGTGCAGACTCTGCAGACCAACACTGTCTAGCTACGTGAGCAACCCATAACTGCTGAAACACAGACCTGAACTTCAATCCTCAGGATATATTGGGCCAGCTCGTGCTCTACCTCACACTCATTACCGGCCTCGATTTTGATCGAGGGTCTGCAGTTTAGTGCTGCGAGGACCCTCCAGATTGCCTGCATGGGCAGTTTGAGCCGTGCTCACGGGATCTGCCCTCTCTCTCTCTCTCTCTCTCTCTCTCTCTCTCTCTCTCTCTCTCTCTCTCTCTCTCTCTCTCTTCCCCCCCGGTGTACACGTACAACCCAAAAAAAAATAAAAAAATTAAGCGCATCAAAATTTGTGCATGGCGCATGCGCACCGCACAGCACACCGCAGAAGTGCGCCGCAAGTATGTAAATTTGTCATTGTTTACTTAGACGATATCTTGGTTTTTAGTAAAGATTTGAAAGAACATTCCGAGCACCTTCGACTTGCGCTAAATAAATTGCGTGACGCAAAATTGAAACTAAACCCAAAGAAGTGTGAATGGGCTAAGCGTCAGGTTTTGTATTTAGGGCATGTGCTTGATGGTGAGGGAATCAAATCGGAAGACACGAAAACTGTAGCAATTCGCGATTGGCCTAACCCCCGCACTTTGACTGAGTTGCGGTCGTTCCTTGGGCTAGCCAACTATTATCGGAAGTTCGTAAGACACTTCACGATAATTGCTGCGCCCCTTCGCAGATTACTAAAGAAAGAAACGATCTGGAAGTGAGATTCAGACTGTACAACTTCGTTTAAACGTCTGAAGAAATGTCTAATAAACTACCCGGTTTTGAAAGTTGCTGACCCTTCATTGCCCTTCGTGGTCACGACTGACTTCAGTCAGTACGGGATAGGTGTTGTACTCCAGCAAGATGACGGGAATGGATACAGACCTGTAGAATTTATGTCCCGACGACTGCCTAACGAAAAGGTCGCCGCTTCTACGTATGAGAGGGAGTTGTATGCTCTCCGAGAAGCTCTAGATCACTGGCGACACTATCTCTTAGGAAGGCACTTCAAAGTGTAATCAGATCATGAGACACTTCGCTGGCTTAAGACGCAGACCCGGATGACACCTAAGTTGACTAGGTGGGCGGCAGAGATTGATCAATATGATTTTGAGTTGAAGCCAGTTGTTGCCAATGCATTAAGTCGAGGATTAGATTTCTTTCGTGTCATTGTAACATACTTAGATTTGGGCACCGATTTGCAAGAGAAAATTAGGAATGCATATTCCACTGATCCTGTCTATGGCGCTATGCTTAAGCATGTACAAGAAGCGCCAACAGAGTTTCCTAACTATCGTATCACACAAGGACTGTTGTTTGAAAGGACTGATGTGCATGATAGGCTTTGTATTCCGAATGTGGAAGAGATCAAGAGTTTGATCTTGGGGGATTGTCACAATACCGAGGGCCATTTTGGGTGGAGGAAGACCTTGTGCGTTCCTACACCTGGCCTCACATGAAACCAGACTGCATTGCATATGTGCAGGGTTGTCAAGTGTGCCAAAGAAATAAGAGCACAACACAACCTCCTCTTGGTTTACTTAAGCCTCTACCTATTCCAACAGGTCTGGGAGACTCTGTGTCCATTGACTTTATGGACACCAAGATAAAAAGCAGGAACTGAAAGACGCAAGTCATGGTCATCGTCGACAAATTTAGTAAATATGCTGTCTTCGTGGCTTTACCAGCGGAAGCAAAAACAGAACTGGTAATTCGGGAGTTCTTTAACCATTGGGTGAAAGACTATGGGCATCCCTTGACAATTGTGAGTGACAGAGATACACGGTTCACGAGTGAACAATGACAGCAACTTATGAATGTCGAATGTCTATGGCTCTCAGTTAACTATGTCGTCAGGTAGACACCCTGAGACAAATGGCCAGACTGAGCAGATGAATAAGATTTTGCAGCAAACGCTGCTCATGTATATCCGTCCCGACCAGATTGACTGGGACGAACATTTGCCCAAAGTTGCTAGTGCCTACAATAACTCTGTTCATCTATCTACATGCAAGACTCCGATGGAGTTGCATCTGGGATGGCGTCCGCGCAGGCCTATTGATCGGTTAAACCTGGATCAAGTGCATAAGCTTCCTCTAGGAACTAGCGAATTTGCGATTCAATATCAGAAAGACATTGAAAAGGTAAAAGAAAACATTATCAAAGCACAACATCAGATGATTGAACATGCAAATAAGCACAGGAGACCTTCACAGTTTGCTGTAGGTGATCTGGTGTGGGTTAAGTCTAAAGAGTTTGTTCCTTAGGAGAACATCTCTCAGACGTTACTACCCGCTTACAGAGGACCTTGGCAAGTTTAAGATGTGATTGGCGATGTGGATGGTCCTTCATATGTTATAGAGATTCTTCTACATTTACATACATACCCAGTATTCCACGCTTCGAAACTCTTACCTTGCGTAACAAATGAGTTGTTTCCCAGTCGCAGTTCACCGATACCTCCTGGCATGGATGGGAAATATGATGTGGATAAGATTGTTGCTTAAAGCACTTTCCAAACTCGACGAAGAGGCAGACCCCAGCGACAATATAAAGTAAGATTCACTTATCAGGACCCAAGTGAAGATCGCTGGTTCACAAGAGAAAATTTGCTAGAATCTGCACCTCATATTGTATCTGCCTATGAACGAGCAAGAAGGGATATAAGCATTATTGATAGATGAAGGATTTCTCAGAGGACTTCGAAACTAGGCCGACGAGAGTAAAAGGGTCTTTACCCGATTCAGACCCTGTTCGGCAAATGCAGCATAAAGGGGTCACCCGCCAGGGCCCAACTCGTGAAAGCAAATCAAAGGACATGTTCTCTGGGTCAAAAGTCACATCCTAGCTAAGTTAAAGCCAATGTCAAAGGGCACAGTTGTGCCCTGTACGAACAACTGCAATATTTGGCTTTGGGAGTCACATCTGTTCGTCCAGGGGGTGCGCAGGTCATGTCTG